ATATCACAAGATCACAAGTATTCTACAGTCCCCTACAATTTTACTGCCCTTAAAACATGAATGTTTAAAACATGCAATCTGAATCTTGATCCTTAACACATTTTACAAGATATTACTTTGGAAACTACATGTATGGAACATTTAGACAATCATGTTATAAACATAAAACATGTAACTTTTTTAATTCCATGGATTCACTATCATGACTAAAATCATTGTTCAGGTGAAGTATTTTCAAACTTCTAATATATCTTTAACTTGACACAGTTTTCACTACTTACCATCATGAACAAACAAGAGATGTCAATAGTATGAGACTGTCACATATTGAGAAGCTATCACATTCAAGGCTTTCAAAGATTTCATATAAATCATTACCCTGATAGAATACAACCATCAATTGAGGCTCAAGCATGCAAATTTGTTTACAACATGTGAATTATCTGATGATCTAATAATGTTATTTCATTATATACAAACACATTATTGTTTTATACTTAAATGAAACTCTTCTGTATTTATTCTACTATAACATTTCTACCCATAAATGAGAAATCCATTAGGAAGTCTTAAGATATTCATATGACATATTGTTAACTTATTTATGCAATGATTAAAATTTGCATGTACCTTTTGAAAGAAGTAGTGTTCTTCTAAACAAAGTACATCAATTAATTTAGAGATATTGTCATTTTTCAAGAACCCTCAAAAATGCATGCATGCATTAAGTTCTGAATTTACATAATAATCACAGCATTTTTCTACAACCATTCATAACTCTTTGAATCATCTTATTCTTCAGAAAATTCTGTTCTGTGATTAGTTGGTATTTAATCATGCAATTTTCGAATAAATTCTACACACAGATATAGATATTTATAGGTTTACCTGTATAGTGTATGCCCAAATTATAATCTGGTTTTACATCTAAATTTATAAGTTCATTCTGAACATAATTTTGATCTAATACCCAAGTTTACAATTATTTCTAACACAGACAGAATAGTATTTAGCATAATGTCAAATGACAGTAACGAAGGTTTGCTGTCTGTCCTGATTTGCCCATGCATATAATAATAAATTTTACTCCTAAACAAAAGAAAGCTGATGTTGATGTAGGTTTTAAGCCATATGAATGCAAGTGACATACATGTAGCACAACTTAAATGAAATGATCATATGGTGTGATTCTTGCTTAGAAATGTGCCACATCACTTGCTTAATAATTGCATGAAAATTTGAAAAATATAAGTTCAATTCATATATTTTCAAATCGAAGGATTAATTGAACACCTGTCATTTAATTATGGTCATATGTAATACAAATATTTTTAGGGCTGTTCCAAAATTGGCTGTCGTAGGGGATGGAAGGCACTAAAATTAATAAAATTATCCTTCAAATTTTGTAAGAATTTTAAGTAAAATGAAAATTTCATATTATGGTGGTTGGGGTCTGCCTTCCATGCCGCATGTGTATTATATTGTGGAACAGTTCTAATCTTACTGCCATAAAATATGGTCAAATGTAAGCCACACTGTCTATTGCATTTTCAAATGTGATGCATAAGCATTAACTTTTAATGCAAAGACACAACTGTATAAATGATAACATGTAAAGTTTCTACTAATACAATTCCAAGAGCTATTCCAGAATGAGGGCTATCTAAGTTTATCTTCAGTGAGGAAGAGGTTGAAGGATAAATCAGAGATTACCACTATCAGTGGTGTATTGAACATTTAAATCATACTGCAGCAATAACTAAAGGATGTTTCTGGAATAGTCTTTTCCAACATACTTAAAATAATAATTGAATGAAGTTATTCAAGGGCATTTAACAAGAAGTTTCTCACATTAATTTTTTTGTTTTTGAACTGTTCCATAAACAAACCCTGTAGTGATAAGGCATATTTATGTGTTTAAAACAGCTTCATATCTAATGAAACATCATTATGTATAGAAAAAATTAAGAAATGATTCTAAGCTTATCACAGAAGGATTTTACGGAACAGCCATTGTACATTATTCTTATCAGACACCACAGCTTATAAGGATTTTGTCACTTCACCCTGCCCATCATGGACGACCCCTCTCCTGCAAACTCAATTTAGTATTTAATTTTGTAAAAATATGAAATACAAAGTTCTTCATTGTATTTGAATGCGAAGGTCTTGCATTGGAAGAAAAGAAATGGCATATCCACTCCCTACAGTGACAGTCAACTTCTTATCAGATTTGCCCATTTCCATCATGGATGGGTGGAAGTAACATAATCCACAAGAGCTGTGATGCAGTAACAACATAAATCAGCAACATCATTTCCTTCATTTTTTTCAATCATTTCTTTTTTAATCTATAAATTATATTTTAAGTAAACTTGAAGTATCACTTTTTTTATTTTTCAACCAAACTGAGCATTAAAAGAAATGACGTTTCTACAGTACAATCAATTCCGAATAATTCACTGATTCTGGAAGAAATTGTATTACAGCTTAACTACTTGATAGTGTATTTATGCTTATAATTTAAATTTTTTGTCTGTCAGATGAACCATGAATTCTTTATAAGCTATTATATATATTAAATAAATGGGGAATGTGTCCATGGGACACAGATGATGCCCCCGTGCTTACATATAACTTTATATAAGAACATAACTCTAGAATGGTAAAAGTGACACTACCATAATTCGTACTTGATCTGACTTATGTGGTAATAATCATTGTGTATAATTTTCCTAACATTTGGTTGAGGCAAACTTAAGTTAGAGAATGGAAACGAACACCAAAATTCAAACTTGATCTGTGTTTTGTTGTAATAAGCATTGTGTTAAGAGAACGGAAATGAAAAATTCAACACTTTTTCCATTTGTAAAGGGGCATAACTCCAGAAAGGTAAATGTGACACCCACCAAATTCAAACTTGATTTGTGTTTTGTGGTAATAAGCATTGTGTATAAGTTTCATAACATTTGGTTAAGGCAAAATAAAGTTAGAGATCGTAAACCAATTTCGGGACGTACAGACGGACAAGGGTAAAACTTAATGCCCCTTCGCTACGGCGGGGGCATAAAAACATACTGGACATCTTTTTGTTACCTATTATTATGTTCCCAAAATCTATAATGATCTTTCGTTTAACAATCAGCACCATTCTTTAAATTTGCTAAATGTTCCTTAAAAAATATGTGAACCCTTTATTAGACTTGGAACATTGGTAAACTTCTGGAACCCATATATGAGATATGAACATCTGTATTATAATACTACTGTGATCCCTTTACGAGATTTGAACATCAGTAAACTACTGTTGCCTAAATTCTTCACTTGATCAGCCAATATCATCATTTGTTATTCTTTCAATAGGTAATGAAGAAAGCTAATATTGATGCCATGGTTCATCTAACAGACAACACATATTATTATAGAAATTTCCCGTAACAATAAGCATGATCTTTACTTACCTCTAAATAAACTATGACTTATACATTACAATGATTCAAAATGGATTGAGATATAATGAATAGCACCTTTGACCCACTTACCCAAACTCTATAATAATATTCCTTTTTTTTCAATCAGCATCAATCATTTCTTTAAATGTGACCCCATTTTTCTAATCCTTCTATAGAACCTGATCTTTGACTTACTTATCCCATATCCATAAAGGTTCCATAAATCAATCCCCAACATGCTATAAACAAATTGCCTTTCCATGACTTGTGTGGCAAATATTCATAAATCTTAAAATTAAAAATTGTTCAATGAAAATGCATTTAAGGATATCAATTTTGGACTATAAATATTAAAAGTGCCCTTTTAATAAGTCAGCACTATGTGTAAGATCAAACTAAACTTATCCGGAGAGCCCACAAGCTGATACCCAACCCCTATATGAACATATGGCAAAGTCTATGATTAGCACAGGGAATCCGAAAATAATTGGGATAAAAAGTATGGGAGGTGCACAATAGCAATATATGGTTAAGTTTCATTTATTTCTGATGGTTGTTTAGAAGAAGAAAACACAAATGTGTATGTAGGGCAGATATGAAAAGTCTTCATCATGCCAAACAAATCCCAAAAATCATTCGTAGGAAGAAATGAAAAGGATATGCTTAAAAACATCATGTAACTAAGATTATGTGAAAGTTTCACAAAATTTCCCAAGCTCTGCAGGAGCAGTAGGGGATAAAGTGGGACAGAAAGCAGAAGGACTGACACTCCCACAACTACATGTATATAACCCAAAGTACAAAAAAGAAATATACTGAGAGAACATGGAATTCTATTGTCACATATTGACCCTGAACATAATCTTAAGATTTCTATTTTAATTTTTCACACAGTTTATCTATGATATCAAGAGATATATAAGACTCTCAAATTCAATATGTTACATATTAATTGAGACTTAAGACCATTCCAAAGAAATTATTTGTGACTTTTGAGGGTGGGGTTTTTTTTTTGTCTCCTAAATTTTAATTATAGGATTCTTTTTAAAACTTTTTGTTTTTGCCAAATGCCTTCTAGGTCATCACATTTTTCCCTGGAATGGTCTTCAAATTTAATGTGAGAAACTCATAATTATCATTAACTTTATGATAAGATATCTACAGTCTTTTCCCCATATTTTATAAAATCAATATCTATTCTTTATCATAAGTTTCTGATATCTTGCTAGGCATGCTATTTCAACAGATAGAATTTAAGTAGTCAAAAGAATTAAATGAACTTTCATTTTCCAACACCCTTTAAATAATATAATCTTTTCAAAAAAAGCTGTAGATACTTTCATATATAACCTGGAAAAAAAGAAATATATTATTGACAATATAACAAGTACAACAAATAAACAGTCTCAAAAACTTAAACAAATGTATATATATCTAAAAAAAAAAATATGTAAATATTAAAAAAAAATTATGTTATAAAATATTAAAATTGATAAAACGTTATAAAAAAAAATAGTTTATGTAAAAGACTAGTAAAATTTTTTTAAAATAAATATTGCACCAATATGCATTTGTTACAAAAAAGACTGAAAGACTTTGGCAAAAATTATACATGTTTGTGAAAAGGGCAACTGCTTTATGGTTACGGAAGAAGACAAAATATTTTGATGATTTTTTTCGTCAAAAATATCCCAATTACTTTTAGAAATCATAGCAAATTTTCTCTATAGTTATTGACATTTTTTTATGATCTTTGTCCCTGATATAACTAGTAGTCAATGGTTTTATTGGTTCATATATTCATCAGTTTTCAAATTTAGTCTTCTTATTTACCTAAAAGTAAATATGGAAATTCAATTTCAAGTTTTAATTTGCAGTTGCCCAAACAAAATTCCTTCAAAATATTTTTAGAAAGACAATACGTTACAATACTGAATTTTTAAATATATTAACAAATTTGTTTCCTAAATAACAAAAAAAAATCTTCAATTCCAGAGATTTTTTCCTATAACTGTCTCCAAACACAATCTTTTAGAATATTTTGTGCAGAAACAAAAATTCTTCGATGATATTTTCAAATTCAGGAAATCTGTAAAAGAAATATATATGCATATTTAAGCAACGTCTCAACATCAAGCTTAGAAATTCTTGCTTATGAGTTTCATATAAGTTATGCACATATATTATAAATTCAACAACAGAGCATTATAAATCTAATTTACTTACCTGTTTTTTAATTACTGGATTAGGCTGTGCTTGATTTCTTGCTTGTTTGCTAGATTTTAAATGATTCATGAACGACGAGTTTGTGTGTATACGCGTGGTTATGCTATTGTAATTATCATCATAAAACTAATGAATAAAGAAAAAGCCCTTCTGAGTGCTGAAATTATCTAAGGGCTATTCCATTAAAATGAATGTAGTAGAAAAAGAAAGGTTTAGTTTTTCTGACATGAGTCATAGGTCATTAAACCGCATATGTTGATTTGATGTATGCAAAATTACAAATTGGTGGCTGTAAGGGTTAGATTATGGAAGTCCCTTCGTACTCTCCCACATCAATTCAATGGAATAGCCCTAACCGTAATCATTACAAGCTTATCTCTCAGAAGCAAAAGTTACCTAAGTTAATGTCGTCTGCTGCTATATTCTCTTTCTCTTTCCCTATCCCGATCTCGATCTCTGTCAGATCTGTGTGAGGACCGTGACGATGATTCTTCAGCATAGTGACGATCCCCTCTTTCTCTACTCCTCTCTCTGTATTCTGCTCGATCCCTACTCCTTGATCTGTGACTTCTACTTCTTCTTTCCTTTTCTCTTTCACGTTCCCTAGATCTTGATCTTCTTGCACTGCTCCTATTAAATTAAACAATTACCAGTTACATGAATACACCAAAAGTTTTCATTAATTACAATGGATTATGGTTACAGATATCTGATTCAGGCACTATAATATCAAGTCAGACAGGGCTTTTATTAAATATGACTGATAATGTTTGATAACTTACTTTGATCCATATGACTTCTCTTCTATACCATGAAGTGTGTCTTGAAGAGAGCTAATGAGAATTTAATATAACTTACTTTGATCCATATGACTTCTCTTCTATACAATGAAGTGTGTCTTGTAGAGAGCTAATGAGAATTTTATATAACTTACTTTGATCCATATGACTTCTCTTCTATACCATGAAGTGTGTCTTGTAGAGAGCTAATGAGAATTTTACATCGATCATCACTAGCAATCTTTGACTGTTTGATCAGAGAGATGGCTGTCACTAATGTCTCTATTGCACTTGCAAATTCTCCTGTGAAAAAAAAAATAAATTAAATTTTAAGAATAATTTGTTGAGCCTCTTGTTTAAGGATAATAAACATGTTTTAAATTTTCAACCGCTATATTCTCTTTCTTTCTCTTTCTCTATTATGATCCTGTTCTTTCAAATATTTGTAGAGAAATATACTTACACCTCACATGGACTTTGGCATTTCCACCGTTTCATGGTGGTAGCGGGCAAAACTTTTAGATGTTCCATGTGCACGCCCTTAAGAATGAACATTCTTTTTTTTAAACATAAGAATTGATACAATACCTTGGAAAATAAGAAAATGTTTTACAAAATTTAAAGGTAGATTTGAGTGGACTTCCTACTAAGAATTTGTGGAACAAGCAAAATCCCACTGAACTGTGATGTAAGATGTTGTTTGGTTATTTTTTGTTATTGGGTTGCTGTCAAGTTGATGTATAACCAACATCTCCTGGTATTCACATAACTCATACTCCCATTGATATAAGTATGATATTTTAATCTTAGAATGTTCCATCAATGTGCCAAAAAAAGCCACGAAAGACACCAGGCTTATAATTTTGGTATCATTGAAAAAAATAGAGTTATTTTGCGCCTGTCCCAAGTCAGGAGCCTCTGGCCTTTGTTAGTCTTGTATGTTTTTTAATTTTAGTTCATTTATATGTTTTGGAGTTTAGTGTGACGTCCTTTTTCACTGAACTAGTACACAATTTTATTTAGGGGCCAGCTGAGGACCACCTCCGGGTGCGGGATTTTCTCGCTGCGTTGAAGACCCATAGGTGGCCTTCGGCTGTTGTCTGCTCTTTGGTCGGGTTGTTATCTCTTTGACATATTCCACATTTCCATTCTCAATTTTATTATGCATTTTTAATATAAGACTAACAGGTTTCAAACACATTTTCAATGTAAACATCAATATTCTGTTGCAGTTGCAATTTTAGTTGGAAAAGCCTTTCACTACCGATGGCAATATATGGAACTATATTTTGAAACTAGTGAAAAAAATTTAATGATGGCATCTTGAACTTTTTGAAGGCCAGTCCCTGCTTTATCTTGCTTTTTTCCCCTTCTCGACCAACTAAATATACAGAAGAAATTTACCTGCACTTGCGTCTTGTACAGCTCTGGATATAGCACTACTTGATACAGTCTTATTTCTCTGGAAAATCTCTTCAAATTCTTGTTCACTGAGGGCTGGTGATTCTGGTCTGTAAAAATTAAACGTTTACAAATTATTCTTGCTTGAAATACTAAAACTGTTTCTTTTAATTTCAGTGACTTGCTTAGCAATGATACATTAAAAAATTCCTAAAATTTTTGAAGACAAAATTTCTGTTTTTCATACAGAGCCTTATTGTTCATGTCCTAAATTCATATTTTTCAAACATGCTCTTTCTGAAAAATTTAGCACTAAGATATTTTCATAGTTACTCATCATTACATTAAAAAGGGTTTATAGTTTGTATTTTGGTTTGGTGTTTTTAAGTTTTCAAGTTCAGACATCTCTTATCTAATTATTGGATATTCAAATTTTGTTGTCTCTTTTTCATTCCCCACCCCCATTATCTACTATAAATTGAATGTGAATCGGATAAAAATCACTCATGGTGGTGTTGAATGAATGACTGTAAACCTGGGCATTTGCTGTTGAATTAAGAGTGAAAACACACAGATTTATAACCCTTTCATACAATACCTATGTAATGTACTCGAAATTTTTCAGTTAATTACAAGCCTTCACAGTGAAAATTCAACACAAATAGTGAAACTTGATTAAATAAACTGGTATGTACTGTATTCCTCTTACCTTTCAGGAGGGGGTCTAGAGTAGTGATCTGGAGGTCTGTAAGGGTCTGTAGGGTATGATACTGGTGGCGGCCTTCCATATGGGTCTGCTCCAGGGTGTAAAGGCTATACAGAAATTTATAAACATATACCCCATAGCTGAAGTATTAGATTAACAACACAAAAGATATTTTAAAACACCAAATTTGATTGGTTTATTGAGAGAAAAGCAATGGATACCTGACAAAATTCCTACCAAATTAAATTCAAATATGGTTAGAAAAAAATAACTTTGTGCAAACCTTGTGTTTTTTAATGTCATGGTTATTTTATTTTTTTTGGTACTTTGAAAAAATTAAATGGATAGGTGAACTCCAACTGATTCAGGGCAGAGATTACCTTCGCAATAAACCGTTTAATTGTCTGTTTTCAATACAGCATCAACATTGATGCCATACCATGGAATAGACGGGTTTAACATCATCATACTTTGTGTCTGTACCAAGTCAGGCTATCTGGACCATGAACTGTTACTTTTCATGTATTATTGTTATTGTATTATTTATTTTATAAGAAACAGAATGTCCGCTAGAGCTTAAAGTTTCACCCACCATTTGTCCACTCCAACTGTGGATTGGAAGAAAAAGTTAAATCCATCTCAGTTGCAGTGTAAGCTTTTCCTAATATTGGCTCTTAATAAATAATACAGTTATAATATTCATGGGTTATAAACTGGTAGAATTGACCTACAAAATATATCAAAGTATACTTACTGCCACAGCAGGGGGTGGTCCTCCATGTGGTGGAGGAAAGAAAGCTGGATTAACATGTGGTGCAGGAGCTGTCGGGTGGCCTGGTGGTGGCAGAGATATAGGTGGAGTAGCTGGTGGCATACCTATAATCAAAATCATTAATGCATAAATCATTAACATTACAACATCATGGCTCACACTACTTCAAAATCATAGAGAAGTGATTTCTCTTTTTGAAACTGGTAGGGAGAAAAAGCGAGACTTAAAAGAGAAGAGTTTTTTTCTCTCACCGCGTGTTAATGTTAGGATGCGAAAAGTTTATAATTAAACAATCTTTGACAATATTCTTATCAAACAAAAGTTATCTACTGGGTACATAAACACACAGAGGCTTAAATGTTAGTACATAAATTGTCAATTTCTAACTTTATGGACATTTCTCAATTCTAATGAAAAGTTATCATTTTAAAATGTCAAGGATCTTTAAAAGATATAAGGTTAACTATGAACTTACCTGGATGTGGCATTCTTGCTCCAGGTGGAGGCACTGGTTGTGGACCTGGGGGTGGTGGTCCACTGGGTGGATACCCTACTAAAATATAAAACAAATAAAATAAAATTGTCTTTTCTTTTACATGTTGAATTTTGACCTTTTTTGTATTTTGCATATCACTTAATTTTTCTTTGCTTTTTTAAACATACACGGATTTATAAATATATATACTGAAAAAGCTTATTTTCATTTTAACTACTAATTAAACATGCTTTGAGAAACATTTTCTGTTCAGATTTACTCTTTCAACACAATTTTTCCACAATTGCAAAAGCATAATATATATGTTTCTTATTATCTATAGTCTCTATCTATATTAAGTGTATTGCATGAAGCATCAATAAAGTTTCAGCCTTGTTCAAATTTCTTGCAAATGCAAGAGAATATATATATATATCTCCTGTACTTAGTATTTATATGAGATGCATAAATAAGAGTCAATAAATAGCTTTGGTCTAACACATCTCCAAACTCTCATACTTCAACTGAACAATTCCTTATACCCAACATGCAACATTAGGCCAGAACTAAAAAAAATTATTGCTCCTCATTTTACTGCCCTTCCATTACGACATTGTGTGTATGGCTGGTAGACAGGGAAATTTTTTCAGTGGAGAGTTGAGATTGAAAATCCAAAGAACTTTTTCTAAAAGTCCCAATTGTTTGGGGGAAAAAAAATCAGAAAATATTTGGAAATTATTTCATGTTTTTTAGCTATAATTATTTAAATCCCAATTACTGGAAAAAAAATAATAATGTTTTATAATCAATGAAGGATTTTTTTAAACTAATAATGTTTTATAATCAATGAAATATTTTCAAACTAAAAATGCTTTAAAATCAATGAAGTATTTTCTTTTATGTAAGTCCATGTAAGTATAAATTATCAAATGTTGATGCCAACTAAACTGAAAGAATGAGCTTGCTTTCAGTAACTGCAAACATTCTTTGATAAGGTATATTTTCATTATTGTTTCGTTTGTACTTGCATTTTTTTTTTATCTTGATACAGTTATTTCAGCACCACAAAGTTGTTTTCCTGTACCAATTATATTAAAGGTTCTATTGTGAACCTTCTGAACTAATTGAAAAATAAAAAATTGAAGGGTTTTTAGAACAAAAAGTATTTTTTGCAAAAGATATTGGAAAAGCAATGTTATTTAGTTCTGGCCTCACCAAACAGGACCTTACAACCATGAGGGATTTACAGACTGTGATTACCAGTATAAAATATGACACACTTACCTCCTTGTTGAGGAGGTTGTTCAAAAAAACCTTTCAAATGATAAAAGTGATGAATCAAAAGATGACTTCACCATTTCTTAAGTTTTTTTTGTTGCTTTCAATAAATGATTTTTGCATTACAGCAAAATGCATTGAGTGTGTAGGCAAAGGTAATATGTTTGGTTAGCTTGCTTGCTAGCTCAACCGTGAAGTCATTATTAGGTTAGGCATACTACCCTCCTTTCGGAGTAGTCTAGTCCTACAGACATATTATAGATTGGTTATCTGTCAGACTAGTTTTCTTTTAAAAGGAGGGTAGTATACCTAACTTAATAATGACTTCACGGTTGAGCTAACAAGCAAGCTAACTAAACATATTACCTTTACCTACACACTCAATGCATTCTGTAAAGATGTTCCAAAATTAATAGTATGGGAGACACTTTGTTTAGACCCAACCACCCCTAAAATAAAATTTTCATTAAACTTATTATAACTTATACAAAATTTTAAGGAAATGTAACCACCCATAATAAATCAATCTGAGTGCCTCCTATCCTCCCACCGTGATTAATTTTGGTAAAATCCTTAATTAATCTCAACTTTTGTATATCCTCCAAACTTGAAGTAATAAATGCATACCATATTAATTCAGGGCTATTCCATTAAAATGTATTTGGGAGGGTAGGAAGGGATTTTCAAAATATCCCTACAACCAAGAACCAATTTTTAGATAATTTTGCATAATGGTAATAGACGAATAATGAAATAAAATGCTCCGCTGGGGCGCAGCTTGATACGACCGCAGAAGTCGAACCCTGAACAGTTGGGGCAAGTATGGACACAACATTCAAGCTTGATACAGCACTGAATTTGGATTGTAATTAAATATTTGACACAGCATAGGTTTCCGACACAGAATGAATGTGGTCTAAGAACTTAAAAATTTTAATTTACCTATTCAAACCATATCATTATTATTTGCTTTTATATATAAATCAGAAATATCCAATTTAAAATGGAAAATTTTAAAGAAAAAAAAGGAAAAAAAAAAAAAACCCAAATTTTTGAACCCCCTTATGATTCATCACCCCCAAACTCAATCCCTGCCTTCCCTTTGTGGTATGGTACCTTGCAGTACAATTTCAGAGAGATCCATACACTTGAACACAAGTTATTGTCTGGAAACAAGAAAAATGCTTGTTTTTTGGCCCTTTTTTGGCCCAAATTCCTAAACGTTTAGGCCAATTACCCCCAAACTCAAACCCAGCTTTCCCTTTGTGATATGGAACCTTGTAGTACAATTTCATAAAGATCAATACACTTACACACAAGTTATTGTCCTGAAACTAGAAAAATGCTTGTTTTTTTGCCCCTTTATGGCCCCTAATTCCTAAAATTTAGAGGCAATTACCCCCAAAATCAATCCCAGCCTTCCCTTTGTGGTATGGTACCTTGCAGTACAAATTCAGAGAGATCCATACACTTGAACACAAGTTATTGTCTGGAAACTAGAAAAATGCTTATTTTTGGCCCCTTATTCCTAAACGTTTTGGGCAATTACCCCCAAACTCATTTCCAGCTTTCCCTTTGTGATATGGAACCTTGTAGTACAATTTCATAAAGATCCATACACCTACACACAAGTTATTGTCATGAAACTAGAAAAATGCTTGTTTTTTGCCCCTTTTTGGCCCCTAATTCCTAAAATATTGAGGCAATTTCTCCCATCATCAATCCAAGCATTCCCTTTGTGATATGGAACCTTGTGGTACAATGTCAGAGAGATCCATACACTTACACACAAGTAATTGTCATGAAACTAGAAAAATGCTTGTTTTTTGCCCCTTTTTGGCCCCTAATTCCTAAAATTTGGAGGAAATTACCCCCAAAATTAATCCCAGCATTCCCTTTGAGATATGGAACCTTGTGGTACAATGTCAGAGAGATCCATACACTAACACACAAGTCATGTCTGGAAGTTACAAAAATGCTTATTTTTGGCCCCTAATTCCTTAACTGTTGGTACCATAACCCCCAAAATCAATCCCCACCTTCCTTTTGTGGTATTGAACCTTATGGTAAAATTTCATAGAGATCCATTCACTTAAACTAAAGTTAGAGTGCGAAAACCAATGTGTCTTCGGACGACGACGACGAAGCCGGACGACGACGACGTCATACCAATATACGACTTTTTTTGCGGTCGTATAAAAAGACTCATGACCCACATTCAATAATTAAACTTTCCTTCCTACCCTCTCACATACATTTTAATAGAATAGCCCTCACAAATTATTCTGTAAAAGTGTACTAAATTTAAGTGATAATACAATTCCTACAAAATGCCTGAAAAAGAGTGCACTACACAGCTAGCCATTGGTATCATTCTTAATTATCCATGGGGTACCAATGTTGTTCATGGTTAATGGTGAACCACAAATTTAAATGTTCAACATGGAACACATTTCCTCAAGGCTTGAGTGCATAACTTTTCGAAACTACAATATCAAGTATCTACAAAGAAAAACAACATTTCTGCAATCCATGAAATTAAATCCAATGCAACACAAAACTATTTGTTAATGTTACCTGGTGGTCTTTCCCACTCTGGACGAGGAGGTGGTCCACGTGGATCTTGTGGTGGTGGACCTCTGAATGGGGGTGGAGGGCCTCCTCTCATCATCTGGAAATAAAATGTTATACATCTGTGGTGTCAGGCAAAACAACCAAGAATTTTTCTTTTACATAATTAACAATGTTTTTTTCAATTAAAAGTTTAGAGATGTAGAGAAAGTTAACTCTTTGATAAACAAATGCTATATGTTTGTTTTTAGGCTAAACCAATTTCACAATATTGAGGCATATGGTTATTGATAAGGATACAAATTAAAATATTTAGGTTTCTTTTTCATTTTTCATAACATGACATTACTCGATAATTTTTACTTGACTGGGTTTTGCTTATACGACAATCAAACCAATCCATAGATTTTTGTTGGTAATATTCCTCTGACGGCTTATAATCATCCTTTGTATTTATCTTTCATTGAGTTCAATGTCCTTATGGGAATAACCAATGTACTGGTGGTGGGGGTATGGTTATTACTTTAAAAAAAATTTGACAAGGGAGAGGGAAAATAATGGAGTAATACTTCCTAAATTTTTGAAAATTTCAACATGAGTATTGACTTACATGCCCTCCTGGTGGTGGACCTCCAAATCTCATGTGTGGTCCTGGGGGTGGTCCAGACATTGGAGGGGGACCAGATGTTGGAGGGAATCCTCGAGGTGGTGGTCCTCCTTAAATAAAAAAAAGTTTATAATGCAGCATCATAAATTTTCAAGATAAAGAATCTCTGGACCATGTCCTTTTCAGAATATACATGTATCTGATTCAGTACTTTCACTTTTGTCCACATAAAAACTTTAATTTTCTTACAAACAGGACATCTGAGCAGAAAAAGCTGAGTGTAACAAATATTACAAAATAACTATAAATTATAAAAAAAAAAATAGAGTATGCAAAATAAAATATTAAAATTTTTTTAAGTTCTCAAAATTAGTTCACTCTGCACCTATTAAAATCAAATCACAAAAATCTTCAGTCAGAAATAGAGTTATCAGGAACAAAATGTTTTTTTCAGTTTATTGAATCTTACCTGGGAATCCTGGAGGGGGTCCACCATGTGGAGGAGGGCCTGGTGGGGGATGGTCTCCTGGTCCTGGAGGCCTATTTTGTCGAGGCATAAATCCTGGCTTTCCAACTGGTGGTCTCGGCTGCTGAGGTCTTGGACCTGGGGGACCTAGAAAAGTGTTCAAATAAAATGTGCATGCTCGATAGAACTAGAGTCTGATATCTACACACAATATAAACAAAGGATCTTGTAAGATTGTAAGATGTTAAAAAGAGCATGGTGCTTTAAGCAACTGAAAGAGCATGAACAAGTGAAACTGCGAGCTACTGCTCACTGATGATACCCACGCCCGCCCAGGAAGTTATTGAGTGATGAATCTGAAAACGCAAATTTCAGAAATCCTTATGATGTAGTTCCTGAGAAAGATGCGACGAAAAATAATCATTGGACGGATGGACGGACAGACAGAGGTAAAACAATATACCCCCACTTTTTTAATTTAATTAACCTAGAATGGTCTGATATCCAAAATCTAACAACATGGTTAGATTCAGCATATAAAAAAAACCAATAATTAAATTGTTGTTGAAATCAAACAAAGTTTCATTTTGGACCCTTCAAATCTTAATATGAACTAATTTGAAAACAGGGCCCAAAATAAAAATCTAAATGCACAATAAGATTCAGCAAATCATACAGCCGCAATAATTCAGTTTTTGATGAAATCAAACAAAGTTTAATTTTGGACCCTTTTGACCTCATTGTAGACCAATTTAAAAATGGGGCCCAATACCCCAAAAAATTATACAAGGTTAGAACCCCCAAAAAATAAAGATTTAATTAATCCCATCGAAATTGGTTAAAACATTTGTATTTGTTTTCAATTGAAGATTTCTTGCTATTGCGCAATACTGTGCAATTGAAGATTTTTTGCTATTGTGCAATACTGTGCTATTGCCCAATACTGAGCAATTGAGGATTTCTTGCTATTGCGCAATACTGTGCAATTGAAGATTCCAAAAATTTGAAATTTCAAAAATTTTGAAGAAAATAATTAATGTATAATGTCCGGTAAAAGTCCGGCTGGGCAAAGCATGAAACGGTCATCTACTTTTTAGTTTTCAAGGCTTTCTTAAGAGACAGTCATTTCAACATAATTCGCGATCTTTTTGACCCAACCTTTTGCCTTTAACAGCCACACATTTCCGGTCATAAAAGTGACATGATCATTAAGTACTATCAAAACAACCCCTACTTTAATACCTTCTCATTTTAATCAAGACTAATTAGTTGTCGAACAGCTGAAATTTACCTGTTCAGGTGACAGGTAAACTATTTTGAATCAGACATTGATCGGTCTATTCAAAGTTATTTTCTTACATTTCAGCGGTTTGCATCTAATTAATTTAGTCAAAAAGATTTAAATTATCAGAAATACGTTTACAAATATGATTTGATGAAAAAATTAAAAAGGTGAAAATGAAAAATCGTCATAACCACGTTGTTTGAACCAGAGACATGTCTCTGTTTGAACTAGTACACGTGTGCGCATGTGCGCAGGTGTGAAATTCAAAAAATGCTTAAATTGTTTTTGATACCTTTATCTCACGTTTATTTCGAATATTTTCTTGAAAAAATAACGTAGAAAGAGCTACGTACACTCATTCATGCTTTGCAAATGTACACGAAATTGACGTATCCGTCTCTGGTCCATGTTTTACCATTGTCAAGATAACATCTGGTATAAGATTTTAACGATTGTAAAGTTTTTGACAAAGTTATTTTTCACAAATAAAGAGTCTAAGGCAGATATAAGTACGCTGATGTTCCACACTTCGAATGATGCACTGCCAATTTAACAGTTTACGTCAGAACTTCATATTTTAATCAAAGAAAGTTTAATATCGTTTTTTTTTAATGTCAATCATTGGGATGGCCAACTCAGCAACTGAATACCATAATTGCCTTTTGTTTATTTAGTCTTAAGGGATTAAAATCGGGATAATATATAAAATGTCCGGCTGGCTAAAAATAATTTTGGAAGCCCTGACCTCCCCCCCCCCTTTTTTTGGAGTAATTACCCCCAAACTCAATGCCACCCTTCTCTTTATGGTATGGAACCTTGAAGTACAATTTCAGAGAGATCCATTCACTTAAACACAAGTTATTGTCTGGAAACTAGAAAAATGCTTGTTTTTGGCTCCTTTTTTGCCCCTAATTCCTGAACGTTTGGGACAATTAACCCCAAACTCAATCTCAGCCTTCCCTTTGTGAATGGAACCTTGTGGCACAATTTCAGAGAGATCCATACAAATGCTTGTTTTTGGCCCCTAATTCCTAAACTGTTGGTACCCTGACCCCCAAAATCAATCCCAACCTTCTTTTTGTGGTATTGAACATTCTGGTAAAAATTCATAGAGATCCATTCACTTAAACTAAAGTTATTGTCCGGAAACCAAATGTGTCTTCGGACGACGACGACATCATAGCATTATACGACGCAAACATTTTTTTGTGGTCGTATAAAAAGAGGTGTCCCATACCCATTCTGACATTTTAAGTCTAAGTGTTCTAACTACAAACATATTGAGGTTGAAAAGTTATGACAATAGCTAACCTGGCCCTAAGTTCTAGGTGAAATAAAAAGTATCTTTCCAAACAAAAAAGTAACAATTCAACATAGGATTCACTTTATGGTAAATTAAGTATTTTTCTTAATAATGTCAGTATTTGATCATAAACTAACTAGATGAAAATGCAACTGATAACATACTGTAAAGTGGTATATATTTTTTCGCAAAGTTGAAATTTGCAATTTCTAGGACGAAAACTTTTTGCCATTTTCTTGTCACCTTTTTAAGATATTCCTTAAAAATAAAATTTTCAAAAGGAAGATATTTACTTGACTTTTAAAGAATAATGGCATAGTTAGTGAAATAAAACACTCCCACTTTAAAGAGGTATCATCAGTAATCAAGACTTTAGGTGTTATATATAATATAAAGAGGTCAACTCACTGTAATTACCATTTTGAGGAGGTCCACCATCTTTCTTTGACTGGGCTTCAAATTGACTAAGTGCCTGTTTGTTAGCATTTGTTACCTGTGGAACCTGGCCATGGATTTCTTTCTTTGGTAGCTTGTCAAATATCAACCTAGAAGAGTTGTCTGATCCTACTACCACTACTGCAAACCTAAAAACAAAAATATATATCTGTGAGATTTCAGTTGACCTTACTAAAAAAAAACACACAAGGTGATTGAATTCAAAATCATTTTTGCTTGAGTGAGGTTAATCCTTTTGAAACAGGGTGAATGCTGGTGATTTAGAGTGACAACACTCCGATTTATGAACCTGTTATATAATGCCTAAAGAAAGAACAGAGATATTTCAGAGTGAATCACTCTGGGAGGGGGGGTTTCTTCGCAGTGAATGCTGTGTTTTACAACAACATTCACTGTGAAAATCACCACCAAGAGTGATATTAAACTGGATTACACTATGTTTACCATTTTCCTTCTAAGTCAACACAAACCTACATTTAATTAGACCGGGAGGAGTAGAATTACACACAAGAGTCAAGATAGCCACAAAGGTAATATCAATACATTTTGTACATAATTTAATCTAATATCAAATTTAGATCTGAAATGTTTATGAAGTGCAAAAAGGTGAGAAAATGACTTAAATAAAATTTCTGTATTTAACTAAATTTATTGTGATGCTTTCATTTTTGCCAGAAAGGAGTAAAGACAAGCATTCTAATTCTTGCTGTTGATGTTCTTCCATAATATCACCAAGAATAGCATTGGTTAATTTCTGATTTTTTAATGACAAAATTGAAAACCAGCATACTAATTTTGTCCTTTTTTCTTGTTTTGATAGGGGTAGGGGTCTTATAGATGCATTTGTTTTGTTGAAAAAAAATGTTGAATTCAATGTTGAAAAGATTTGTCACCTAGTTCATGTTTACTCTTTAAAAACTGAGTAAATAAGATAAACTTGTGCAACCCTAAGTCTTTAAAAAAACATTTCCCCAAATGATGGTATTTCTTTAATTTTAATAAAAAGATACATTATTGTTATGTAAATAAGACAGAATCTAACAACAAATCTAACAAGACAAGAGCTGTAGGCTTGGGAAACTGTAAACATACCCTTTTGACTGTCCGTTTGCTCTATTTTCATAAAATTTAATCTCTACTAAATCTGTGACTCCTACAGAAGCTATGGCATCTGTTAAATCTTGATCTGTCGTCCACTGAAATAAGAAAATCCAATTGCTCAATTATTTGTTGTTGACCGGAAAAGGGACCTCTTGTTTAAATTCCCACAGGACCTGTCATACTTTTGGACAACATTGTTTACTTTAAGATAGGTGTGTTTTCATTTTACTTTGTATTTTTCTTTCTTTATTTATTTGTAAAACCTGCTTTTCAATTGAAATATTCTATGAAACACTGAACAGAATAGAGGAAAGTTTTTTAAATTCAAAATTACTAGTAAGGGTGTTTGATGTCCATATAAAAATGTTGTTTCTTTCAGAGGTTTGTGTATTTTTATCCTGTTTAATTTGCATACGTGTTTGTTGAAAATAGTGAAAAATTACTTTTCAATTAGTGAACCATTAATGACAATTAATTTGCTCATCATAGTGTAATTTATTATTATTACCCTGCTGCTGGGTAAAAGTGTCCAATGCACAAATATAGCATTGTCAACATCCACTCAAACATGTGCTAGGTGTCATCTTATACTTGCATATATTGAGGACAGAGGTGTGAGGTTTTGCTATTAATTGAAGGGCCCACTATTACTTGTCAAATGTACATGTACGTTTTGTGCCATGAATTAAAGGGGCACTAGCTACGAGATATATAAAAATTTAAAATATGATTTTTTTTTTTGTTCAATCATTTATGAAATTAAAATAGTGAAATAATAATTCGCTTTAAGCGGCAAATATGGTTAAATTTTTTCAAAATAAGCTAAGAAACATTGATGATGAATTATTCACTTGCAAGTGAATAATTCAACCTCATTGAATCCGTATTCATATGAACTTCAATTCAACCCCTTAGCTAGAGATTGATAACGCATGCATTGTGCGTGTTGAGTTATTTAACTGAAAAGAATGTAAACATTGAAAGTGAAACAAAGGTAAATCATTTGATTGACTGATTCGATCCACAAAACATTATTCTTATACAGGTAAAAACGATGATTAACATATATTTTTAATCTATAATATGAAATTAAACAGACCTGGAAAAATCCATTGCATGAGTCCACTTTCTATTTATATCTATATTTATGTTTATATTGCTTATATGACCATCAGAGGTTTTCGGAGGTCAACGCGATGGTTAATTAGATGGCATCTAGACTAAAATACACACGAAACGAAGTTACATATTCTGGAGCCCATGCCCTGTAAATTGTTTATTTTAGACTTTTTATACTTTGGATAAATGTTTTACATTGTTGTAAATCAAATATGAGAATTTGAGTCAAATCGGTTAACATGAATTTGACAGCTAGTGCCTCTTTAATACACAATACCAGTTTTTATCCTTTCCTATTTTTTTACAATTTTTTCATGCATTTCAGGCCACCCTTAAAAAAAGTCTTTGTTTGATGTTGCCTACCCATGACTTGTAGGGAAGAGTAGGTAACAGGAATTTTTTTTTTTTGGCCAACAGCATAAGTTACATGTTTTTTAGACAAGAGGACGATGTGAAGAGCAGGAAAAATTCTTTAAAACCAAAATTGAAACGATTTGGGTCATAAAATTTATCGGGTAGGCTGCTTTTTAGGTGGGAAATTGGGCAACATCAATCTAAATTTTATTTTTGGCCTCAAATAAAACCTTACCCATGTTAGGTTTCCTACATATAAACTTATCCTCCTACCACTATAACCTGCTGGTACGGATATTGACAAAGCTTTTGTTTCTTCTATCGTCTACAAAATAACAATCAAGGATAAGTTTCAGCTTCCAAATTGCATCAATGATACAGTAAAATGGACAAACTTCAGAATAATAATACTGATAAAAATAAACTGATCAGAAGTATAACTCGGTCAAGTGGTTACAGTGTTTCTTCGAGTAAAATCTGAATGGATTTACAAAAGTAACTTATAATTATACAATTTTTATCTAAAAGAGCCTCATATTCACATAAAATGCTTCGCTGAGTGCAGCCTGATACAACCGCAGAGGTCAAACCCTAAACAGTTTGGGCAAATTTGGACACAATATTCAAGCTTGATACTGTCTGAATTTGGATTGTGATCAAATTTTTGACATAATATAGGTTTCTGACACAAAATAAATGTGGTCAAAGATCTTACAAATCTATTGCTCGATACTGTGCAATTGAAGATTTCTTCTTGAAACTTTTCAAAAATTCGAAATTTGAAAAATTTTGAAAAAAAAATATGAATCCCTTAAAAAAATTGGAACCCCCCCCCCCAAACTTTTTGAACCCCCCCCCCCCCCCCCTTTGAGCAATAACCCAAAAACTCAATCCCAGCCTTTCCTTTGTAGTATGGAACCTTGTGTTACAATGTCAGAGAGATCCATACACTTACACACAAGTTAATGTCTGGAAACTAGAAAAATGCTTGTTTTTGGCCCTTAATTCCGAAACTGTTGGCCCCATAACCCCTAAAATGTCTCCCAACCTTGTACTTGTGGTATTAAACATTGTGGTACAATTTCAGAGCAATCGAAATACTAATACACAAGTTATTATCCTGAAAGTTGGCTGAAACTAGAAAAATGCTTGTTTTGGGCCCCTAATTCCTAAACGGTTGGGACCATCATCCCCAAAATCAATCCCAACCTTCCTTTTGTGGAATTGAACCTTCTTAAAAAATTTCATAGAGATCCATTCACTTAAACTAAAGTTATTGTCCGAAAACCAATGTGTCTTCGGACGACGACAACGACATCATACCATTATACGATCCCAAAACATTTTTAGTGGTCGTATAATAACTTGTATAGGTACTTGCTACTTGTTGAAGTAATGCCCCTGGCTGAATAGCAAGTCTTTTGAGTACATTTCTTTTAAATTGCATTAAAGAATTGAAAGTATTTTTAAAAATTGAGCTACGTTGGATAGAAATCGACCTTATGCAAATGAATATCAATACATCTGTTAACCTATTTCGGGGTGAAAAAGTCTCTCTGCAAAATCTGTAACTATTTGAGTTGCAATAAAAACCATACAAAACAGACCAAAATTCAACTTTTATTTTGTATTTGAATGTTCCAAAATCAATCAAGGTCTTTTACATGTATATGTATATGTGCACTTGCATAACGTTGACTTCTATCAAACGCAGCTAAATTATTATAATATCACCACATATCTGGTCACTTCTGTTTTTTGTTTTTGTTCAAATGTCTTTTTTCTCAAGAGGAATTGGTTGTTTGTACATTTAGGTTTGTATAGTCCTTTGTACTGTTTAATATTTTGGCAATTCTTGTTATCCTTTTTATGTGAATATGTCAATCCTATTTATAGATCTTCTGTTCGTGTGATGAAGTACACACAAGGTTATAAAGATGAAACTTACTCCTGTCCTAAATGATTCATTGTGTAACAGATTAATTACGGTTGATCGAATGTTACTCATTGATTACACCCTTATACATTGTAATTGTGTACATCTACACACAAGGTGATTCATGGTGAAACAGGGTGATTGCTGGTGATTAGAGTGAAAATTCACCAATAACAGAAATTTTAACTCAATCCCCTTGTGTATCCTGTTCATGTTGTATAGTATATGGAGAGATATTTCTGAAGGAATTATCCCTAAAATGAGTCAAATTCATAATAAATATATGACCTCTTTTCATATCACAAAGGATTGCCAACAAAGAGCCATTAAATTAAAAACTCACCTTGGTCTATGTGCATATTAAACAAAGGACACAGGTGGATTCATGACAAAATTGTGTTTTGGTGATGGTGATGTGTTTGTAGATCTTACTTTACTGAACATTCTTGATGCTTACAATTATCTCTATCTATAATGAACTTGGCCCTGTAGTTTCAGTGGAAATTATTTTGTAAAAATTTACAAAATTTATGAAAATTGTTAAAAATTTATTATAAAGGGCAATAACTCCTTAAGGGGTCAATTGACCATTTTGGTCATGTGACTTATTTGTAGGTCTTACTTTGCTGTACATTATTGCTCTTTACAGTTTATCTCTATCTATAATAATATTCAAGATAATAACCAAAAGCTGAAAAAATTTCTAAAAATTACCAATTCAGGGGCAGCAACCCAACAACGGGTTGCCTGAATGGTCTGAAAATTTAAGGGCAGATAGATCTTGACCTAATGAACAATTTTGTTTTTGAAAGATTTGCTAGAAATGCTTTGGGTTTAGATATATGAGCCAAAAACTGCATTTTACCCTATGTACTATTATTAGCCATGTCGGCCATCTTGGTTTGAGGGCGGGGTCATCAAACACACTTTTTAAACTACATACCCTAATGATGATTGTTTACAACTTTAGTTAAATTCATCCTAGTAGTTTCAGAGGAGAAGATTTTTGTAAAAGATAACAAAAATTTACGAAAAATTGTTAAAAATTGACTATAAAAGAGCATAACTCCTTAAGGGGTCAACTGACCATTTTGGTCATGTTGACTTATTTGTAGAACTTACTTTGCTGAACATTATTGCTGTTTACAGTTTATCTCTATCTATAATATTCAAGATAATAACCAAATAATGCAAAATTTCCTTAAAATTACTAATTCAGGGGCAGCAACCTAACAACGGGTTGTCCGATTCATCTGAAAATTTCAGGGCAGATAGATCTTGAGCTAATAAACATTTTTACCCTTTGTCAGATTTGCTCTCAATGCTTTGGTTTCAGAGATATAAGCCAAAATCTACATTTTATCCCTATGTTCTATTTTTAGCCATGGCGGCCATCTTGGTTAGTTGGCCGGGTCACCGGACACATTTTTTAAACTAGATACCCTAATGATGATATTGGCCAAGTTTGGTTAAATTTGGCCCATTAGTTTCAGAGGAGAAGATTTTTGTAAAAGTTTACAGACGACAGACGCCAAGTGATGAGAAAAGCTCACTTGGCCCTTTGGGCCAGGTGAGCTAAAAAAAGATGTCAATTACCTCAGTAGACTCTACAGACGAGGATGCTGTTATTACATCATTGTACAAATCATCATCTTGTGTAAATTCCTCATTCTGAAAGATAAATTTTTCAATTACATACATTGTATTGTATGTAGTCTTAGTGTTTGCTAAGTCCTTTATTTATTTTCAGATAATTTATTTGAAACGAAATCAGCCTGTCAGTCGGACATGTCTGTGGATTGTTTTTTTGTAGGGTCAGCTGAACTCAATCTTATTATCATGTTAAATGACAAAAATTCTGCTAACAACAGAAAACAGGAAACATAATAGTTTTCCTAGCAAATGAGAAGTTTCCCACAAAAGAGAATAACTGTCTCTCAAAAAAATAAAAACAACACTTTATAAATTTCATGCATTCGAAGTGCTTTTCTGGATTTACCTTCATCGAATGACTCGACTAAATTAAACTTTAACACTTTGAAAACATCACTAATTTGATGAATACTTATTAGAAGAGCTATTCCTCAAGCGAAGAAATTGTTCATCATGGTTGGAAAAATTTCACCTGGGCAAGAAAAACCTGAGTAATATCACCAGAAATGGATACTGCCTAGGCCACCCTTAACATTGCTTAACAAATTCTATGTTTGATGCTGCCTAAGGCCACACTTAAAAATATTTTGGTTTGCCCAAACCCTACTCGAAGGTAGAGACAGTGGGTAGGTTGGCAGGCATTTTCTTTTTTTTTTGGTAAAGAGAAATTGAAGTGTCAATTGTTTATTATATTATGCCTATCTGATTAAAAAAAAACTTTTTCACATCAGGACAATAAAAGATTTTGAGTAGGCAGCTATTTTCTGGGTAGGAAGGGTTAGGGCAAACAAACATATTCTTTTTTATGGCCTAACCATGCCTTGTAGGGTTGGGTAGGTATGTAGGGTTTTTTTTTTTGACAACAACATAAGTAACATGTTTAAGACAAGAAAACAATGTAAGAGCAAAAGGTTTCAAACTGGACTGGTCAATATTCATAAAACCTTGGTATTTTGCTAACCCTGTTACCAGTGTTATCTGCCTCTTAGAATTCATTGATTTGTGTTTAATTTTTACCATTTTTCCAGATTTTTACGTATTCCAGATGTAGTAGGTTTTGCTAAACATGTTTTGTAGATTTATAGTCTGTTTAAGGACAACCATTTGATATTCTGAGGGGAGAAGAGGATTTTTTCACAGAATATTCATTTAAATCTGACAAGATTTGCTAAACAATTTTGTCCTCTTTTGGGCAAGTTTATTTAAACATTCATTTTAAAAAATCCTCAAGTCCTTATGGAACAAACACAATTACTGTACAGTGGTCAGTAAACAAGCAGGGTACTCACGGTATCAGGTCCGTTAGCGCCCAATACACTTTCGCACCCTACACATTCGGACATCACACGTTTGCCCCCTAGGTCCGTTCGCACACTTCACATTCACTCCCAATTTTTATTCAAATTCCAGTTGAATTATTAGATATTTTTTTATATGTGTATACCAAAAAAAAATAATTTTCCGGAATAAAAATTGGGGAATTATTATATCAGTCAGGGGAGTTACTTGTACAAGTGATTTTTAAAATCACTTTCTCAAGTGATTTTTCAACAAAACTAGTGTTCATTCCCTTTCATTACTTTTTAAAAATCACTTCTACCAGTGATTAGAAATATTTTTTAAAATCACTCATTCAAGTGATTATTAATATTATGTTTGGAAAAGTTTCAATAAGAAACCAGGGTTATCTCCCTCTTTCAGAGGACAACATCACAACAGGGGTCATTTTGACATTAGCTAATAGAAGACACCTGTTTAAAAGGTGAAAATAAATAAAAACTAACTTGTAAGGAGAAAAATTTATTTTCTGAACAAACAATAGCATTAGAAATGATTAGTAGCAATCTGTTCAAATGTTCTTTCAAATAAACTGCTTGCATATACTGTAATAAAGGGACATAACTCACAAACTGTAAAACTGATGCTACCATATTTGTACTCGTGCTGAGTTTGGCGGTAATAAGCATTGTCTATAAGGTTCATTACATTTGGTTGAGGCAAAGTTAAGTTAGAGAACGGAAACCAATTTTGGGATGTACAGACAACATGGACAAGGGTAAAACTTAATGCCCCTACACTACAGCTGGGTCATAAAAAGGAACAATAAAAACTCATAAACTGAAAATGCTATATATATATATGACCAAAAAAAATCACAAACATTTTTACATACATTTGTAGAAAACTAAAGACTCAAACAGTTATAAATAAGATTTTGCAGGTCATAATTATAATTTGTAGTGAAGTTAATGGAATATAATCATTTATTAAAAAAATAGTATTGATCACTGGTATAAATAAAAATAAAACACTTCAAAGGGTGTCTTTCATCACATACATTTTGAAATAATGTAAATCACTGGTACAAATGATTTTAAATCACAGCACAGAGTGATTTTCATTCAATTAGAATGTTAATCACTTGTACAAATGACTTAAAATCACTGCACAGAGTGAATTAAAATGTGTGTTTATCTCTGATACCAGCAGTATATTTCCAATTAACTTCTATAGTGAAAAACAGATATGTTTTTTTTTAATTCAAATTAAAAAAATAACTATATTTATCAATCAAATCAAAATCTGTTGTAAATTGTATAATTTTAGAGGGCTGAAACAAAATGTGTGCAACAGCAATTGAATCTTAATAAACAAGAGGCTCTCAAGAGCCTGAATCACCTACCTGTTATTTTTTGCTTAAATCTTTCATCAATGATTATTTTTGCTTTTCAATATATATTAATAATGAGTGGCTTAAAAATACCATTTAAATGTTCTTTAATGAATTGGTGGCCATGTTTGTTGGTGGATCAAAACTTCGGATACAATTTATAAACTAGATACCCTAATGAACATTCATTTAAAGTTTGAAGGTATATGGCTCAGTAGTTTCAGCGGATAAGTTTTTGAAATAGTTTATGACGACAGACGCCAAGTGATGACATAAGCTCACAAAGGGCACTTCCGGCCTCAGTCAGCTAAAAAGGGGGGATGACTTGAGTGACTTTTATTTACTGTTCAGAGTGATTTCAACAGAACACTGGTAGAAGTGATTTCCAATTAGAATCCCCTCCCCTATTAGAAATCCAGTACCAGAATATTAATCTTTATTTAATGACCAGGACTAATCATCAATGATTGAACTCTGTTGCAGATTTTAGTCTTTGTAAGGGTTGAAACAGAATGCAGAGGTCATAAAAGTTGTCAAATTTTGCAGTCCTAGGTGATTTGAATCTTTTTGTCAGAATATAACTATTTCTATAAATTTAAATTCAGATAACATTTTTGTTGTAATCTGGTTCAGCAAGGGGTCCTGACTGTCCAGCACAAGATCATTCATGAAGAAAAAATTGATTTACCCAGGTGCTTAAAACCAAAATCATTTCAAATTGCAATTAAAATTTATCTGTAAAAAGGTTACATGAACTCGTTTCCATATTTACCATTATACATGGATGAAAGCAGGGTTCAATTCTAAAAAAATGTTTATTCCTCTCACATTGTCATGTCCCTGGTCAGGATCCTTAAATTAATTTCAAATTACCTTCAAAAACTGACTTACTAAACATGCTAAAGTAACATCTTTTCATTGATTACAAAAAAATTATCAATCAGATCAAATCTATAATTTTTTAAGAATATTTCATAGGGCAAAAACACGATAACTGCCAAACCATTTATCAATTGAAAAAAGGGAGGGTGCTATGCTTTCTTTTTTATTTTTTTTGCTCACTTATTTGAAAGGACAGACAAACTAACAAATTAATGATAGGCCAGGTCTAAATTTAAATTAGGTCGTTAGTTTTCTCGTTTGAATTGTTTTACATTTTTATTTCGGGGCCTTTTATAGCTGACTATGCGGTATGGGCTTTGCTCATTGTTGAAGGCCGTACAGTGACCTGTAGTTGTTAATTTCTGTGTCATTTGATCTCATGTGGAGAGTTGTCTTATTGACAATCATACCACATCTTCTTTTTTATATCTATTACAAGTATAAGCTACATTGTACTACTACAAGTATTTTCAAATGTTTTTTTTTTAATGTGCACGATGTGTTCTTTATTTCAATAAATTTGAAAATAGGTGTAGCTTGAAGGAAACTGTTGGTTTTTTTTTTTTTTGGGGGGGGGGGACAAAAGTACAAATATCTCAAATTTTCACAATCGTTTTTTTAGTATGTTTAGTTGTTTAGTTATAATAACTTTAACTAATGTAGTAAATTTGAATCTTAATCACTGTGTAGAGTGATTTTAATTAATTTTTCTACGTGCATCACTTCAACCAGTGATTTTTTTTACTTTAGCTTCAAAATGCCACAGATCAACTTGATCATTATGATGATGATGTACAAATGCTTTTTAAGTGTATTGGTTTGGGGGGGGGATGGGGGTATTTGAGTGCACATGAAAGGTTTTCCTGACAATTACACCACAAAGTGTTGACGCCAGAAGGAGATAATATATATAATAGAGCTTTTGACAAGAATATTTTGTAGTATTTGTGATTATTGTTATGCCTTGAATGTTTTAATTGATAAGAAATATTTATAGCACACAAGGTATTTATAGCCAATTGACCCAATTTATTTATTGAACTTGTCAGTGATCATGGTGATATTTACCAACTAATGTATAAGGGGTGTTAAACCATATTTTCTCATTCAAATGCATTGATCGTCCAAAACTTGGCTATCATGTGTAAAACGATACAAGTGTTTAGTAAACAGGAAGTAACTTTAGTTGTTGAGTGATGAATCTGAAAACGCATCACAGGGTATACATGTGCAAATGAGCAAATATTTATATTATTTGAAGAAACTTTTCCCAAAGAACTGTAAATCTATCTTGTATTAAATGGTCAAAACATGTCCAAGAATTTTGTAATATTTCTGGACTTACATGTATATCTTCTTTATTATTAAAAATAAGTGTACCCGTCTTTTAGAAAAGTTGTTCCAAATTATGAAATACATGTATAATAATTTTTTCCCTTTTAACAGTCTATGCCAAACAGTTTTA